ATATATATATATATATATATATATATATATATATATATATATATATATATATATATATATATATATATATATATATATATATATATATATATATATATATATATATATATATATATATAGTAACACTTTCAGTCCTATTTGTCTCAGTATTATACAATGCCATTGAGTCTTATTTTAAACAGGAATGATATTATTTAAGCGATTATAATTGATTTACCGATTTCTGATTCAGGCAGACAAGACATTCGAATGACTAAAGCAAGGAAATTGTTTGGAGTCATCTCTCCGAGATTCATCACTTCAATTTCTATAATTTTCAAAATAAACTGAGAAAATTCTCCATTCGTAAAGCTCATTTATCGCAACGTACCACACAACACTATCAGTTGATGGGGAAGTGTTACCATACTGTTTCAAGTAGCATTCGATTTTGAAATGTGCTCTCAAAAATGACTCATTTAAGTCATCAATAGTTTGAAATTCATATAGACAATTCTCAATTTAATATTATACAAATGATTTCATAAATTTTATATAAACTTTATGAAATTTATCAGTACTTTTTACTCGAATTACTTGTCGAGTGGGACAATTTCGACACTAAATACAAGTAATTGTTCTACCATTTTATACATCAGTCATTTTGATCAAGTATATATTACTATTATTTGCTACTTCCTCTACTATTATGCAAGCAGCATCCTTTCGAGTGTTCCCAAAAAGCTACTAATAATCCTCATCGGGATCATCATTTTCACAACGGTCTCAGCAGTTGCGTGCATTTGTTAAGGTTTTCGTCTATGTCTTCTGAGTGGTTTAAGAGAGGTGTTTGTCGTTTTTTCAATCGCGGAGGAGTATAAGAGATGTGATAGGTCAACTAACCGAATACGGAATAGATGAACTGAGATGTAACGTGAGCTGCATGTTTGATAAAATATGGTCGTTTTCGATCACTGAACATCACATTAGCTTGATTTGGATTAGAAATTTTATATTCATTTCACAGAAATCTACTTTACATCCCTCCAAACCTTTCTGTTTCACTTTTTGTGCAGTACTCTATGTGACAGTTTCGAGTTTTATGGATATTTACCACCCGGAAAGTTTATCGGCCCTTGCTATTCAAGAGCTGCTAATGCCATTCAAGACGTGTGATCGGAACTGGAATGGCCTATAATGCTGCATTTGTCAATATTCATAGTAGCGCAGTGATTTACTGATTGTAATAGTTGCTCGTATGTCCATCTGTTATTAATAAATTTGGTGATATTTAAAGTGAAATATTTTGCTAAAAGAAAGTAGTTTTATAAACTACAATTAGAATTTATGCTTTACTTTCTTGGTTGAATTTGTTTTCACTGTTGTCAAAGGTCATAGAGTTAAGATATTTCACGTTTTGGTGTAGATAAAGAGTATGTCGGAGGGAGCAACGGAAACAAAAGCGGAACGGTTGGCTCAAGCTCGAAAGAAAGTAAGTTTTACTTTTTTTAGTTCTTTTCAAACTTTAGTTCTGTCCAAAAATTTTTCCAAATACATTGAACTGCACGATGTTCAACACATTTTAACTCTCATCATCAACTAATGGTACTTGATTTCAGCAAAGGTTCTTCAGGAACATCTCGTAATTACTGGTGTAAATGTTAGATAATATAAGGAAGTTTACTAATAAACACGGCCTCTCTCAATGTTAACCTATACTCACGGAAAATTTGAGTTTTTTAGGACTTGAGAATTCTGGACCATCTCAGTCATTATTAGTTAATTCAAAAGAAAGTTGGCAGACAAATTTTTGCAAAAGATCTTTATTCAAGTAATCAGCTAATCGCCTATGTCTATGACATTAATTATTATAAGGGCATCTCGTTCTGTTCGTACTAAAATTAAAGTAACTGGAGTTTTCAGTTGCGGGATTATCAATCTAAACATCGCAACGAAAATGTAGAATTTACTTTATCTCCTTCTCCAAGTGTTTCAAGTATGGTCGAAAATAGTGGACGACGATCTGTTATTAACTTGCGTAATTTTCATTATATTACTCTTATTTTTCCTGTGAAACTATTTAGGAAAATTTCTTGCTTGTGATTTTCATGCTTTTTTGTCAGTTACTTATTGCACTTCTCGTTAGAATCAAAACAGTGCTTACTATCCATGATTCCTTTAAAAATAACTTTGAAGAAATAAGAGTTAATGGTGGAATACTCTTGAGTTGTTAATTTACTATTCTCTGAAGAAAACTTATAACTTTGAAGAACTGTGCAATAACGTTGAAATGAAAGACACTTTCCAAAGAGTTCAAACAGGATCACAGAGTTCTCCATCGACAATGACACAAAGTATTACGAGTCATAATGTTTCGAATACAAACAGCAGTGCTCAGGCGAATGATTTAAGGGATAAATTTCAACAAAGTGGTACACCAGAATTGTATTCGAACGTACCGGAGGATCTACCCGACTTGAAGGTTCTCTGACCTTCATATATAAATTGTTTTCGTCGCCTTTCCATTATCTGTTTTAGATCTAGGGTTAAGTGAGTTGCTGTAACTTGTTTCTCTTGTTATAACTCCCTCATGCTTTTTATTTTACATTGTATTTCGGGGTCAGTGATGTGACTGGAACTATTTTCTTATGCTATCTTCATATCTAGGTGTAAAACTTTGTAGTTATAAAATACATTAAGAATCGTAATTTCATTAAAAAAATATTATTATTAATTAAGGATTTGGAATGAGTTGTAGTTTTGAGAGAAGTAAGAATAAGTTTTAAAAAACACCTCTGGAAGAATCTTAAAATGAAACTGATTTGAATAATATTATATATTCGTTACTGATTTATTGTCGGAATACCTTATTTTTTTGTTCGTTCCGATTGGACTGTTATTGTTCATTATCTCAGAATTTGGTCACAGGTTGTTCTTATCCACTTAATTTTAGTTTTAACAAATTTTATGTTAAATAATTGGCCAGGTTTCCGTATTAGTTTGCACAAAGATTTTCAACGTGACTTAAAAAATGGCACATTGCCTGCCAGACCTTCAGGCGTGGTTTTCTTTTGAATTCCCCTGATATGAATTGGTATTGGAAGGAATACTTTTTGTTGCAGCTGGAATGCGTTCGGTTGAGAGAAGAATTAGCTTTACGTACAGCTGAAAAAGGGCAATTTTCTTCACAGCTTGCTGAGCTGGTATGTGTGCTGTTATTTGCTTTGTTTTCATTTGTTTTTACTTGCTTTCTTTCATTTTCCATTAAATCAACAGTCCATATTATATCTTAATACTTAAATATTTTTGAAGGCTTATATCTTAGTCATTTGAGAAGACTATGTCTGGTCATGTTTGACATGCGATCGTATGAATGCTAGATAGTATAATGTACTTAGTTGAAAACAGATTCTATCATCCATATCAGTTACATATGAGATATTTTAGGTTGGACATTATTCACAAATTCATGCTGCTTATACAAAGCTCAGTGAATGTGTAAAAAATGGTGACCCAGGTGGATCCACTTTACAAACACAGCTCGTTCATTTGCAAACAGTTTTGTTTCTTTTTTATATGAAGAATTATGAAGTTGTTCCACTACGTTGGAGATAAATTTCGTTGGTTGCTTTTGTATATGAGCAACATCCATGATACCTTAAATTAATGATGTTTCAGGCAATGAGTGTTGTTGTCAAGGAGAAAACAGCTTTACAGCAGCAATTAAGACAGAAAAATGAGCTAGTCATGGATCGAAATAAACAAATTTGCAGTCTTACGGTGTGTAACTTTTATGTTACGCAAATTATTTGTTAATTTATCGATATATTTGTTATAATAAAAGAAAGTTACTTCGTTTTTTGTTTTTTACGGAAGCTTATTAATTTTTATAACAGTACTTTCTACAGATCGAAATGCGTGAGAAGACCTCGCATATTACATCGTTGGAGACGGAAATCGTATCATTGCGTAAAAAAATCGATTCACTGAGTCATGCAGTGCAAAAGCAAGTGGAAGAGTCAGAAAGTGGTCGACAAGAAACAGTTAACTGGCAGACTAAAGTGCTACATATGCAGCAGGATCGGGACGATGCTAAAGTTTGTTTGTATTGATAAACTCTGCTCATGTGTTATTTGCATTCTTCAAGCGGCAATATTTTTTTTTTAAATTTATGAAATATGGTTAGTTTATGACAAGAATCTCCACCAGCGTGTAGTTGAGGAAAGAGTACATGTTTTGCAATTCGATGTTTACTGACTTCATTTCACTGTCTGGTTTTTTACTAATGTATTATTTTTTTTCCATGCTTTGTAATTTTCCGATGTTTAAAGGAGCATTTTAGAAATGTGAAGTAAGACGTATTACCTTAAAGTTGTAATGTTTCTTAAATGATCAAAACTTGTTTAAACTGCATTAACAATGGCAGAAGTTCAATTGCATTTATAAAACTAAAAAAAGTTTAGGAACGATTAAAAATTTGCATGAAAGAAGCGGAGGCTGCTCAAGCAGAACTCGATGAAGCTCGCAAACAGTTACGGATGAAGGATATTTATCTTCGTCAGTTAGGGGCATATAAAGGTGAAGATGCTCGCATAGAAGAGGACACTCGAAATCTTGGTGGTAAGCGTCTTTCTAGTTCTGTATGAGATTGTCATGTATTGATTTTATGTCTTTTAATTAGGCAGAAATACTCTCAGAAAAATTTCCTTTTCTTTTCCGCGAAATGATGTTAGAACCTTATGCTTTGCTGTAACCCATCATAATCCTTTATGGAAGTGTACAATGTACAATGTGTTTACAATATTTGCAAATATGGGAATGTATAGTATTTGCCACATTTTTCTTACTGATATCGTTGACTTATATGTAAACAATACTTCCGCGTAATAAAACGGAAAAATTGCTTTCTAATGAATCTTTTTTTTTGTTAAAGTAAAATATATATATACATATTTTTTTCATATATATACATATATATATATATATATATATATATTTTACTTTAACAAGAAAAAAAATAATATATATATATACATATATATATATATATATATATATATTAGTANAT